GCAAGAGAAGGGGGCACGCTACGCGTCCCTCGACTCTAGGGGGCATGCTACGCATCCCTCATCTTTACCTTTCTATGTGACCGCCAACGCAACGTTTGGCTCAAGTCAATGCCCATAGCTAAGTGCTATATGTGTCTTCTATCCTGAGCAATCAGAGCTATCCCGTTGCACAGACGAACCGCCGCCGGCAGTGAGTGCAAAAGGAACGGCCGCCGGTTCTGCCTGCATAGGATCGCACGTGTGGAAGTAAGAGGGAGAGACAGGGTCCAGTCTGTGGAGAGTGCTAGCCAGCCACACCTACATTCATTACAGCTCTGGTGGGGAGAGCAGCAACCAAGTCGAGAACAATCCCCCACGCAGTAGTAGTAGTAGTAGTAGTAGTAGTAGTAGTAGTAGTAGTAGTAGTAGTAGTAGTAGTAGTCGTCGTAGTCGTAGTCGTAGTAGTAGTATACTAGTAGTACAGTAGTATAGTAGTAGTACAGTAGTATAGTAGTAGTAGTATAGTAGTAGTAGTAGTAGTAGTAGTAGTAGTAGTAGTAGTAGTAGTAGTAGTAGTAGTAGTAGTAGTAGTAGTAGTAGTAGTAGTAGTAGTAGTAGTAGTAGTAGTAGTATAGTATAGTATAGTATAGTATATCGTATAGTAGCAAAAAGGAGAGTAGTGAGTAGTGTAGCAATGGTATATATAATGTATTGTACAGTTATTTAGTACTATACAATACTTAAATTTTGCATATCATATATAGCCCTCTTAGACCACACGAGCATGCGGGCACCGGCCAGTCCCTTTCACTTGGAGCCCGCCACGGTTCCATCTCAGCACGGCCAAGCAGGGAGTCCTGCATGCGACCGGCAAATGTTCGGTGAGTTTGTTGACAGCAGACGAAGCACGACCCAGGATGCACAGCCCAGTCCAGCCTCCGAGGCAGCATGACAGGGCCGCTTGGATCTTGCATCCTGTCAATATTCGAGTGATTCATCATTATCCAGGGTAGCTCTCTTAGCAATGCACAGGACACTTCGGGCGGACCAGCAGCACAAGTGCTGAAACCCAAAGTTTATCGATTGATAAACCCTGTGGTCTTGGAAACACCAGGATTTATAGATTCATAAACCCTGGGGCCCACCAAAAATGAGAATCTATAAAACCTGCGGTTCCCGGATCAGCAGGGTTTATCGATTGATAAACCCTGGTGTTTTTAGAACACCAGAGTTTATCAATTGATAAACCTTGCTGTTTTCTAGATACCAACCATTGGAAGCAGCACCCACCTTGCTTGACCAGGATCCCTGCTCACCCACGTCGATGCCTCTTGCGGTAGGTCCATTCCTGGTCCCACCACGAGTCCTGCAAAAGGCACACAGAAGCCGAACACCACAATGACCATGGCACATCCTCCTCCGCCGGCGGTGCCCTGGAAGAGCTGGAGCCCGAGCCCTGCACGTCGGGGCCCAAAGCAAAACTAAAGGGTGCCAAGGCGGCCTGTGCATGGCCTGAGACAGCTGGCCCTGGCCGGGTGCCCACATCCGCTCCTGCATGTCGGAGCACAGAGGCAACTGAAACAAAGGACGACTGCACTTGCAATGCCTGGTCCCGCTGCAGGGCGATGTGGTCGCTCATGACACCAGCCATCTTGTTCGCCGTCTCCATGGCTTGCGAAGCGATCCTAGCAGCACCGCCACCCCTCGTCCGGGCACGGGTGCGACCGCATCCTGGAGGGAACAGCTGCCCGTCTGCCGTGAGGAAGCCGGCCACCTGCACCCCCTGAGGCTTCGCAGCACCTGACAGGACTGCCATGGTGTTGCCGTGTGAACCAAGCATGATGACACGACTGCCTCCGGAAGCCCACGGTGCTTTGAAGCTGCTGGGCACTTGCACGAAGCCACCCTGCAGCACACATCACTGATGTCACTGTGCATGTGCTGCCGGCGAGCCAACAGGCCCTGCCAGGCGACCACGCCACAGGCATCAAACCCTATATAGCCTTGGTCGGCACCTTCACGAGGGCCGTCTCCTTTTCCGGAAGAGCACAACCAAAAAAAACAGACGATGCAACCCACTGTCCTTGCCTGCTTGGCCAGCTCCAGCTTCTTCCCAGGTCGGGCCTGCAAAAGCGCCATGTGGCTTGCATCATGTGGAGTTGCAACACACGAAACCCAAACCCCAAACCCGAAACCCTAAACCCTTGGCCTTCTGCTTCAGCTTAACCACAGCCAGCTGTGTGCCCTGGGTTCGAACACGGCAGGATCCGCGAAACTGCCGACACATGCTGCACCCAATCGCCTCCTGGCCGGGATCATCATCATCAGCCAAGTCCTGCATGTGCTCCATTCTTTTCAAGTCACACAAGAATGGCATCCACAGGCCTTGGGGCTGTGGAGCACAGGATCCTCCTCAGTTCGAAAGGAGCAGAGCAACCCATGAAGACGGTGCATGGGCCTCCTCGAGACGAACCTCCACTTCTTCGTCCTCAGGAAGACATGCACGAAACCGCCCGTGCTCCCAAGACCCGTGTGAACCCAACCTCCTCTTCTCAAAGAATGGCTCCTCCGGACGGTCCTGATCGAAGGGTGTTAAGGTGGGTTGAGGGTTTTAAGGTTTGGTGTACGGTTGGGGTTTTTAGGCCTTGGGCTTAAAATATACAAGAACCCTTGGTGTCTATATGTGTACATAAGGATGTGATAGAAAAAAGCTATACCTGTATTGCCTATATACCTGTATATATATATATATATATGTGTATCTACATATACACTTATACTTATACAGAAATATGTATACATGTATATATATATATATGTATATATATATGTATATATATATATGTATATATGAGAACCAATATATACGGAGGCTAGATATTCGCAATCTCAGCATGAACATTGCCACAGCTTTGCAAGTGCTGAAGCTCCTGCTCAGCCTCCATGCCGCATTCCTCGGCCGCCTCCACGATCACGGGATCCTGCAAAGGTCTCGGCATGATGGCTGCATGCAGGGCCGATGTGCTCGCAGGCAAGCCAGCATGCACCGGAATGGAACAAAGCAAGCCAATGCCTCGTGATGCTCTGGGCCCTGTTCTTCCTGCATGCACACGACAGTCTTATATGCCCAAAACAAATCGGAATGCAACAAAACAAGCCAAAGCCTGGAGATCGTCGTGCTCTGGGATTTCTTCTTCCTGCATGCACACGAAAGTCTTATATGCCCACAGCAAACCCGGAAAAGGCACTCCCTCCACTGCAGCTGGCACCGGCATGTGGGGCTCGTAGCGAGGGTCCTTCGGAATTATATGAGTTTAGGGAAACACACTTAAAGCACAACATGCTGGGCAAAGCCTTGTGGAGAGCCACCACCTTTCCATCGACTATGGACTGCAACAGCAGCTTGCTCGGGTGGTATTGCCCTTGGTGCCAAAACTGCCAGCCCTTCACCGGCGGCTCCGGCAACTCGTGGTCCCCGTGGAACCAAATGCTGAGCTGGCCATCCCGGGTGTCGATGTGCCAACCAGACCATTGACTCCCGGTCCCCAGCCATCGCAGCTTCGTGCCGGACTCCGTGACCCAGCGGTGCTTCCGGCGATTGGGTCCTGCCGAAACACAAAGGAAAGACTTTGTGCACAGGATTGAAGACAGCCAGCCTTTCAAGGGGTAGAAGACATCTTCCACCGTCACGAGGTCCATCATGAGCCTCTGCTCGGCATCCTGGGAAGTTGCAGGTTTGCCCGAGTCTATAGAACCACAACTTTTGAGACCAAACTGGGTCCACGGCGGAAGGGGTTCCGGAACACATCATCGTGGACCCCGACATGGCCCCGGACTAAGCAAAGCTAAAAGCCCCGCCCCCAAAAGCCAAAGGCCTCGAATCATGATGCATTCCGCCATGTTCCATGCTGAGCAGCTTCCAGAATGCTTGCATGCGACAAACAAATTGCAACCTTCTCTCTTCTGTCTGCATCATGGGAATGCATGCATGTGACAAACAAATGGACACTTTCTTTCTCACTTCTGTCTGCATCATGGGACTGCATGCATGTCACAAACAAATGGACACTTTCTCACTTCTGTCTGCATGTGGCTGATCGAGAGAACACGATGTGCTATAGCAAACCCGGCCGAATCTCATTAGTTCTCGGAGCTGCTTTCCTCGTTCTTCTCATCGTTGTCATCATCTGCGACTTCTCCTGATCATTGCCCGATCGGCGACTGGTTCGCCTTTTCTTGCGGGGTTTCTGCTCACTGCTGTCGACACTATTCTTCAGCCATTTCAGGTTCTCTTCGGAGAATTCGATCCACACCGATCTTGTTCCGATTCCGTCGAACAGCACCTGGAACTCGTGCCCCTGGACCGAGATGGTGAATTTCAGCGGCAACACCAGTGCATGTTTCGATAGGGCGTTGACCACTTGCGGCTTCTTGGACTTCCTCTTGTTCTCCGTCGCAGCATCCTCCTCCGTGTTCAATGCCTCCTGCAACAACTGGTTTGCCTTGTCCTGTCTCGCACGGATCGTTTCGTCCCAGATGTCAATGTTCAACGATCCACTGGCTTTGCCTGGCCGCAAGTCTAAGGATTTCCCTGTCAGTGTTTTGACAAGGGCACGATCCCACTTCTTGAGATGCATGTAGGTCTCACCGTCGACAGATTTCTGCTCGGGGATGCAATGGTTGCCATTCACATACAGCACCATCTTCTGCTCGACAGTCAAGTTCATGGCAGGCAGATTCCAGCTATGTGTTGGTTCCTATATAGAAATGCTCAGCCAGAAGATCCTGCAATCGAAACAACATGCACTCAGCTGCCTGCGAGCTAAAGAAGCCCTGCAGGCGCTGAAGAGCAAGCACGAGGCACAGCACAATTGCAACAACTTAAACTCCTGCCTTTGGAGGTGCTCAAAAGAATGCAATCACACTTTTGAAGAAGCCTCGGTCCGTCCCTGCCTGCCAATGTTGCTCGTGTGAAAGGAAGACTCAATCCCGATGCATGTTCAGAACATGACAGCCAATGCTCACTTCTTGGTGGTTTTGGCTTTCTTGGCTTTCGGGGCATGCTCCTCGTCGTCAGCCTGCTTCACCTTCAGGATATGCAGAGCAGTCCCCGTGCCAATCTCCTTGCTGTTCTTCAACATTGGGATGCGAACCGACGATTGTACGGTCCCGGACATGACCTGAACCATGTTGGCGGAATCTTCGTCTTCGCAAGATCCGACCAAGAAGTACGGCGAGATGAAGTGTTTGCCCACTTCTGGATTGCTATCCTTCGGCAAGGAGTTGCAGCTCTGCAACCAAAACTCACGATCGTCGAGCTTCCACTTGGTTTGCACCTGGACTGCATTCGCCATGGGCTCGGGCTTCGGGCTCCTCGTGCAAACCTTCCAGCTGTATGGCACCAACATGAGCTTGCCTTTCCCGAAGACCTGCTGGCTCACCAAAGCTCTGCATGGCTTCAGCTGCAGAGACAAGCCCTCGAGAATTTTCTGCGAATCGTGGGTCTTGACCAACTCATGCATTGCCTGATGAATCTCAGCGATCACCAAGCCGGCCAAGAAATCGTTGTTCTTCTTGGGCCCCATGGACTGCAAAGTAGCAATGGACTCGGGCTCCGCTTTCGGCTTGAAAACCGTCCATCCCGAATTCAGCAAATCTCTCGCCGGCACCTTCAAGACTCCACCGGACTTCAGATCTTTGACGGTGACATTGCTGTCGTCCATGACGCCGATTTGGCCTTCGAACTTCTCGCCCTTCTTCTTGATGCAGGCACCAACGATGAAGCCCTCAGCACTGAGGAGCTCAAGCGGATTCTTGAGGCTGCCGTCTGGATTCAGCTCCGGAGTCTTTCCTGGACCCCCTGGGACCCCGAAGACTCCTGCTGTTGCCCTGCATCCATCACTTCCGCATCGCCCGCCCAAGGCGACTGCAGAGCTGTCCCAAGCAGGCCATTCGCCACCGTGATGCAATCATGGGCCACTGCTTCCACAGCCTTGTACTTCTTGTCGTCCTCAGGGCTCAGGCCCAAGACGAGCTTCGCCATCGTGCAATCCGTGACCCCCAAGAGATTCACTAGCCGAGTGTCGCTCATCAACTGCACACCGGCTCCGGTGAGCATGCTGCGAACCTTGGACATTACCTCGTCGGCTTTGATGGCCTTGGGAAGGGCATCTTTGGCCAATGCCTTCTTGACAGATGTGGCAGTCACCAGATTGCTGCTCAGTGCAAGTTTCACCGAAGCATGCCTGAAGAAGGTCACTTGGTCGCCTTTTTTCAAGTCGGCCGACACATTCTCCCAGAAGGAAGGTCCCATGCCCTTGCTCTGGCCGTGACTGCGAAGAAACATCTCAGTCTCGGCGAGAAAGAATGCATCCGCACCGCCACAATGCCTGCATCTCTATATACTTTGCATGCAGGCACTGTCCAAAACCTCTTAAACACAGACACTATATATAATAAGAGATCTACAATCAAAGTGCCAAGCAAGAAACCTGAGTGCGAACTGATACAGCCCTGGGAGGCACTCTGCACACGGAGGCTTCGAGTGCAGGGCTTGTCTCTTCACCGTCTGATAGTCGGGCACACCATCCGCCGCAACAACTGAAGTTCTGATTCCGTTTTTTGTAAAGTTGCATTGCATGAGGACTGAACCAGCTGCAACAAGTCTGGCCACTTCTGGCCCACTTCAGCTGCGATGACCGTCCACTCCAGGCCTTGGAGTACATACTCAGCGAGCACCGGGTCCCGCTTCTGCACTAGCTCTAGGGAGAGACTGCCCTGAACCGAGATTACCTCCGATTTGTGGGGTGCTCCATCAGCAACCAACCGAAGTGCAAAATTCGTGTGTGAACTGCTGAGGGAGAGCACTTTCAGCTCTCCAAGTTCAAGCCGGCCGAGCTGACCGCCTGCAGACTCAACCAGCTGCTTGTTGAAGACCTGCACAGCCTCGCTGGAAGCTTCAATGGCAATGGGATTCGTCCGAGTCGGTTCGAAGCCGACAGCGGAGATATTGTCCAACAACTCATGTACGTCTTGAACTACAAGACATGACCCATCACGATTGGCTGGGTGCACTCCCACAGCCTTGGGTGGGATTCGCATCCGCTGAAGCAGGGAGTGTCGTTTGAGCACGGCAAAGATCTGCTGGACATTGCGAACCAGAAAGTCCCCCTTCCGACTGCTCTCCTCCACCAGGCGACTGATCTCCGCCACAGCCTCCGGGGTCAAAGGCATCGCGAGCGATTCTGATCGCAGGCGAAAGTAGATTCCTTGCTAAACCGCTTGAACCAACAGCTCTGCACATGCTGGCGGCTCAACATGATCGCTGCAAAACACATGCCCCTGCAAGCAGCCCGGCTGCCTGCGAGCAATACTGCCCTGCATGGCGCCAAGGCTGCTTGCCACAGCAAATTCAGCAATAATTGCATGAGCAATCCTGTACATCCGTCCATTTCCGCCAACAACAATCGAAAATATCCCTGCTGCAGAAGCACAGAATGCATGCATGGAGCTTGCAAAACAAATACAGTTGTCTGAGTTCTGTCATACACTAAGTTGAACATACAGGACTTACTCGATATACTTAAATGAACTTATAACTTCGGTGCCTGAGATGCTTAAGTCCAGCAACATAGATATAACTAGATATAGTTAAGTCGGCTATGTGTTCCAAGTACTTGGCTCGATTATTATGTAAATACTATCTGAACAGCCTCACATAATAAGTCCTATAATTGTTTAGAACGAATATATGTTCCATATGTCTAGACATAGGCATGTTATAAGTACAGACTTATGCCAAGTATATATTCCTTTCAACTGCTTTATCTGTTTATAAACGCCCCGCCCTCTCAAGTAAGTCATAATATTGAGCCGTATATAATTTAAGCCATGTTCCTTAGTTAAGGGGTATTGGGCTCTCTGGGTTCTTGTGATAAGAACCCTTATCAAACCCTTATCAAGTCCTTGTCAACGCTATTAAGGCCCCCTGCCACCCTCCCCCTTTACCCCCCTTAAGGGTCCTTACGTTCTGAAGGTTTCGAGAAATCCTGGCGCAGCACAGAAACGTCTAGGTCTTCGGGAGCAAAGGCACACCAAGATTGAGGCAGACGTCCGTCCAACCACAACAGCAATGACGGTTGATGATATAAATGATGCATTCCCCATAATAGGGAGTATACCATAATTCCCATATTTTAGGGTCCTTAAAGTAATGCAGGATTTATATCATCAACCGGAGGACAGCACCATATTCAATGATAAGAACCATCGTCACACACACACACACACACCGTACAGTCATGAAGACCTTTATCATCTTCTGCCTCATCCTGGCCAGCATCATGACCACCAGCATCACAACATCATCATCAGCAGCAGCATCATAACTACGGCCGTCAACATCATACAGAGAAACCCTCTCGAGCTTGCCTCCCCAAAGCCTCACACAGGGTGTTTGTAGGTTGGCCTGCTTTGCAAACTTGAGTTTCGGAATTCGGACCATCATCCATATGAGTAGTTCTCCAAATTAGTGCCCCGTTTTGGAAACTCAACATAAAGCGCCACCCTCGTGATAAAAAGGACCCTAAAAGCGACTCTAATTTGGAGAACTACCCACATTTAGTATTTCTTCACTCTCAGGTTCTGGCACACTTCGTGCTGCAGAAGCTTAGAATACTCAGAGGCCCAGGGGACTTAGTAAGTAGATAAAAAGCAGGGTTATAAGTACCCTGAATGGAGTTACCCTAATCATATCCCTACTTATAACCGACTTGCTAAGTCCCGTGGGCCTCTAAGTAACCCTAACACCCCCTTATAGAACCCTTATAGATTCCTTTTAAGGAGCCTTTTAAGGAACCTTAATTCCCCTGGGCCTCTAAGTAGCACTTCCAGGGAGGGAGATCAAGGCTGGTGCGAGCCACTCCCCACGGTATGCTTACGACAGAGTTTGTTGTCACATGCCTAGGAGAGGCTTTTAAAGCCTTTGAACAATATTAGTAGGTAAGATCCTCTTAAGCCCTTAGGGAGCGGCTACCTACATGCTGCCGCACCAGGCAAGTTGCATTTCGACACACACGTATGATTGAAGCCCTTAGCTTTGCAGGACCAGTGGTTCGGCTTCCACTTTCGGGGTTTACACCTGAACCCCAAGCCCTAAACCCTAAACCCTAAACCCCAAGCCCTAAACCCTCGTTGAACTCAGCAGTCGACCTGCTGAGATCTAGCTGCGGATTCAGCAGCCACGCGAGACGATCCACCTCAGCCCAACCCGACGAAGGTTCGTGGATTTGGGGTTTCGGGAATCGGGGTCTCAGGTGAAAGTTTACGGGTTAGGATTTGTAGAGCGACTTCTCCCTAAGCCATGTGGTCAGCTTGGGAGTTAAGGTTTTGGGTGTGGGATACGGGGTTCAAGTTCAGTTTTTACGGTACATTCGGGCTAACAACTCACATACCCCGCACTTTCTATCAACACTCCAAATTTCACGGGCTGGGGCAACTGTCGCGAGTAGCAAAAACCGACATAGTGGTAATCATGATATGCTGGTAAGGTGCCATGAGAAGGAAACAATACAGTAAGGAAACCATCTTATGTGTTGTCTGCTAGCTTTCCTGTTCATCCCCGAACATCCTCTTGAACACCCACACCCCAACCCCCTACAATCCTCTTCGGCCCTTTAAGCCCAACCCGAGCCACGGTTTAAGGTCGGATGGTTTAGGGAATCGGGTTTAGTTGGGGTTTAGGGTTTCAGGTTTAGGGTTTAGGGCTGAAGGCTTTAGCAACCCTCGCTCCGAAGACCAAATTCAGTTGTAGCACATCATGATTTCTACTCCCCAAAGGGGGATCTATTGGTTTCCTTATTCTGGTAACTTCCTAGGCATCTCATGCTTACCCTAATCCCTAACTTACTACTATTTCGGTGATTTTTACCCTCTACTTGTCCGGGGCCCGATCAGCGTCCTGCCACATCGGATCGCTCTCCTGGCCGCTCGGACCAAAGTCCGTTTGGGGTTTGGGGCTTTAGGGGTTTAGGGGTTTAGGGTTCAGGGGTTAGGGTTTAGGGGAAGTCAGGTGTAGCTTTGGGCTAGAATCCTGCATCTGCTGCATCTGCTGGCAAGATTTTGATGGCTTCCGAAATTCGAAGGTTTGATAGAAGCTTGGCGGCATTTCGAGTTTGTGCCTCAGGCAGACTTTGGATCTGGGGTTCTGGGCTTGCGGTGCGCTTAAATATCTGAAACCCCCGACCCTGGCAAACAACGCCGGTCTCACCCGCATGGACAGGTCCACAACAGCGCGGCCAGAGAAGCGCGCAAAGACCTGATTCCAACCTTGTGCAGCGGACGTCAGGTTTCAGGAACAGCTTTAGAGTCGGGGTCAGGGTTTGGGTATGACTTGCGGGGGCCTTGGCTGATCTTGGAGTCTTCATTCAAGCTCCTGCAGGCCGGCGTGAGGTGCAAGGGTCAGTACCAGGTTTAGAGGATGATTGTCCACGGCCATGATGTATTTCGGTCGTCCTCTATATGGGTAGTTGTCAAAATTAGGGTCCCTTTCTGGGTACCCTAAAAAATAGGTGCCGTATTATGTTAAGGACCCAAAAAAGGGACCATAATATCGACAAGCACCCAAATTGAGGTCCCGTTTTCGGGTCGCGTCTTGGAGAGCTGTCGGCCTGCTGTCACGGCCAAGAAATGCAGAGGCCTCAGCCTAAGCTCAAAGGGGAAAAGGAGGGACCCTTAATAGGGACCCCTAGGTATATACCCTTAATATAGCTATTATATACCCATTATATAGCCCGTTATAGGGTAGGTGTCCCCATTACGGGTCCCTCCTTTTCTCCAGTAGTTTCGGGTTTAGGGTTTAAGGCTCCGGGTTTAGGCTTCAGGTTGCAGGTTTAGGGTTTAGGGCAAGCTAAACCCGCAACTGGGGCTTGAAAGCCCTTTGGAGGCCTCAAAAGGTGGGATGAAGGTAGGTAGGAGTAAGGATCCCTTATATGAGGACTCTTCTGTGGGAATATCCCACCTACCTGCATCCCACCTTTGGAGCCCTTTGAGCCCTAAAGCCCTGCCCAGAGATCCCAATACCCCCTAATTAAGGAATATACCTTAAATCATAATATTAGGGCCTGTATAAATTAGGGTATATTCAAACTTTGGAGGCCACAGGGAGCTTCCAGGTTTGGTTTTCCGTACGGGTTTAGGGGTTAAGGGTTTAGGGCTTTAGGGGTTTAGGGGTTTATGGGTTTAGGGTTTTAGTGGCTTAATTAAGGGCCTAGGGCCTATTTAGGGTTTTCCGGGTGTTAGCCAAGGAGCCCCAGGAGTTCGGGTTGGCGAGTTCCGGCTCCAAGGCGGCCATGATGGCGTTGGGCAGACCTTTCTGGGGCGGTTTAGGGGCTTAGGGTTTGGGGGTTTGGGGGGTTTTGGGGCTTGAGGGGCTTGAGGGGTTTGGGGTTTAGGGGTTTAGGGTTGAGGGTTGAGGGGTTTAGGGTTTAGGGGTTGAAGGGTTTAGGTTCCGGAATTTGGGGCTGTGGGGTTTGGGGTTTGGGAACTTGAAAATTTGGGGCTACGGGGCTTTCGGGTTTGGGGATCTGTGTGACATCTTGCGGCAACGATCAGTACTGCTACTGCTGCTAATCATGCTGCTCCTGCACCTGCTACTGCTGCCGCTATTTCTTCTGCTTCTATCAGAGACGACTACTGCTGCTGCTGCTGCTACCACTACTACGACAACGACTACGACTACAACCAACCACGACCACTGCCACTGTCACTACCACTCCTGCCACGACTACCCACTCCACCACTACCACCACTACCACCACCACCCACGACACCCCAGAACCACTACCACTGCCATGATCGCTACTGCTGCTACGACTCCACCGCTCACAGCCATGTTGCTGCTACCTTGCTTGGGAGGTGGGGGGAGTGCGAATTCTACCACGAAAACAGTATACAAGAGACCGTGGAGAGCAGTACTCATCGGCGGGCCGGGGGGGGCGTTCGACAACGAAAAGATGACGGTGCAAAAGCAGCATTGCAGTCCAGAAACTGAAGGACCCCTCTTTAAAGATCCCAAAGCATCCTCGTTGTGGGGGCAGCTTCGTTCTGATCCGAGGCTGTGGCGCTTGGCCAAAGTGAAGGCGGCAACGCAGCCTGGCACTGCCACGGGCATCAAGATCCGGGCGGTGGGGTTGAAAGTTATCTGTTAGGTGCGGCCCCCCTACAGTAAGAGTCTATAATAGGGCTGCTATTAAGGTCCTAATATATCTACATTATGAATAATATTAAACTATTGCTGAGTGGGGGACGTACCCAAGTTATCTGCCTATATGACCTGCTTCCAACACGACATTGCTTGCAGAGTTTTCGGCCGTGCGGCCACTCAACAGCCCACACCTCGAGCACAGAACAAGCACTCCTCACCCATCTCGACCCAAAAGCCCTGGTGACCATCCCTGTTGGTCAGACAGCATCACAAGGGAGTGCCCGAAAATAGGGGACGCTAATCTAATACCCTGAATAGTAGGATCCTTATTATAAAGACCCCAACATAAGGTACCCCTAATTTTCATAAACTCCCACAACCTTCGGAGCCCGACGAAGTGAAACTACAGAGGACAACCGTGCCTGAGATCACTCCCTAGCAAAAAAAGACAAAACTATAAACTTTAAATTCAAAAATTATTAGTAGTGCTATTACGATTATTATTACTACTATTATTACTTTTTTTATTACCATTATTATTACTATTCTTATTCATAGTATACCCGTGTTAAAATGCCATACAGAACACACACAGAGCCCTTGAACTACCCTGCTCTAACGGTGCCCCAAGCCTGCTTGAAGGCTCATGATTTGGATAAACCTACTTAAGAGGACTTATAACCCCAACCCTACGTACAAAGTCCCACGAGCTTTTAAATGGGCAAACTGAAAACCCAAAGGTGGAAACACACAGGTCGGCAGGGCTGTCACCAAAGACTCCCGTTTCCACTCGCTCGATGAACCTGAAAGCAAGGAAAAAGGGCTCCTTTTTTGTCTGGGTTCCACAGAGGTGTCCCAACGATTTCCATAGGGTGTTGCTTGTTTTTGTTGTCAAATCTATATTATGGCATGAGCAAAGTTCGACATGGCGCCCGGCAGTAGCAATCCGGTCAAGCCCCCGTTGATCAAACTACAGCACCACTGCATCCTCATGCGGACGTAGTTCGCCAATGATGTATAGTCTAGTCCTTGACAAGCGCTACATTCTGCTCGTCGGCTGCTTGGGTTTCTGATATACTGCTGCATGGTTCGCCTTTGCAGCTGAACAGCCGCAGGCCTGCAATTCTGCGAAGGCTAAGATCTGAGTCAGCTGTCAGGACACCCTAAAACCGAAGCCCAAAACCAAAAGCCCCAACCCCAAAACCCTAAGCCCTAAACCCCAAGCCCTAAACCCAAAGCCCACAACCCTCAGCCCCAAGCCCCAAAGCTCGCACCCCAAAGCCCAAAGCCCTAAGCCCTAAACCCCAAAGCCAAAAACTCAAAACCCACAACCCTAAGCCCAAAGCCCTAAGCCGTAAACCCCAAAGCCCAAAACCCAAAGCCCACAACCCTAAACCCCAAACCCCTAAGCCCTAAACCCCAAAGCCCAAAACCCTAAGCCCACAACCCTAAGCCCAAAGCCCTAAGCCCAAAGTGCTGGGCCGGCCCAAAAGCGCAGGAACTCCAAGGGCCCCGGCTGCTTCGTCAGCAAAATGACCGCGCAGTCGCTGTTCTGTGCAGCCTGCAGGTTTGGACATACTTAGAGGCCCGAGGGACTTAGTAAGTCGGCCATAAGTAGGGATATAATTAGGGTAACTCCATTTAGGGCACTTATAACCCTACTTATAACCTACGGCCTCTAAGTAAAGCTCCCCAAACACTGAAGTTTAACCCCTAGCCCCTAATCCCTAAACCCGAGTCCCTGAACCCAAAACTCCCGAAATCCTAATTGATTAAGTTAGCTCTGGGGTTCAGGGCTTTTAGGGTTCGGGGTTTAGGGTTTTAGGGTTTAGGGCTCTAGTTTATATAGGACTTTCCTGGTGACGACGACTCTCACTATTCCTATTGCTATTATACCCTTGCCCTAGCCCTAGACCCTAAACCATTGTATTAAAATCAGGTCGTTGGTTGACTACATCTTGCCCCTTCTTATGATCCGCGTGTATAAACGAATAAGGCTCCTTCAAGGATTCCTTTGAAGCGGCTCTATAAGGGTTTACTACAAGGGTTTAGTATCGTATCAGCCCGGACTAAAGGGCTCATGGGACCTGGATACAATTAGGACAAGTAACCCTACTTACGGCAGTGTGAAGCCCAAGTCTCACGGAGCCCTTAAGTAACCCCCTAAACCCCAAACCCCGAACCCTGAACCCTACACCCTTGTGAAAACACCTTTAACTCGTGTCGATCATGTACATCCTGCTTCTTCCTCGCTGCCTGGAGGGCTCGAGGTCCGAGGCGGGAGGGTCAGGGTTTTGCGCAGGGCGCACATGGACCAGTGAGCGGGTAAAAGAAGGTGAGGCCATCTTCAACGGCAACTGCACAGACAGGGTCTGCATTTCATCTTTCGGAGTCTTCTGGACTTAAGGCATTTCTGGAATTCTTCTTTGAGATCTGATCGGGGATCAGGGCTACCAGTGGGAACTCTTATCGAGTTCACACTGGTAGCGGTTTGACGGGAAATACCTGGAGAGGCCTGGGAAGTCATGCCACCGAAGCAGGCGACTGAAGCCCCTAGTGGACCGATGACGACAGCAGGGTCCGGACCTGCTGAGTCCGGGGGTTTCCAGCTACCATGGACGGCGATTCCAAGGTTCAGTCCAGGTGTTACAGATGTTACAGAGTACAGTGGCAAGCTACAGCTTCTGGCGGCGATGTGGCCGCAAGAACACCTTCATCTACTAGCTCCGAGGGCGGCGTTATTGTGTAAAGGGACAGCTTTCAAGAAAGTGTCGAAAATCCCAGCAGACAAACTTAAATCCTCCGATGAATCCGGGGTCAAGCTCTTGGTTGCAACATTGGGTGGATCATGGGGAAAGACTGCTTTGGAAGAAAAGTATGATACTTTCGAGAAAGCCATCTATAGCACGTCACAGAAGGCCGACGAGACGAATGACAGTTATTTGGCTAGGCATGATGTCCATTTCGAGGAATTGTTGGCACAGGGCAGCACCACGGAAGAAGTTCGGGCGTATGTTCTCCTTCGGCAATCTCAGCTTTCAGCAGAGGATCGAAAGAAGATCGTAGTTGAGATGGGTGGCAAGCTCGAGTATTCCAAGGTGGTTTCTGCCATTCGCCTTCTAGGCTCACGATTCTTTTCGGAATTTCAGGGGCATCGGACTGCCCGAACCAAGACTTATGATGCCAATGTGACAGAAGAGGACCCATCCGAGGAGCCAGAGCCCGCCTTTCAGGCTTCCGTACAAGGACTCTTCGAGGAAGCCGAGCACGAGCTGGACTCCGAGTTCGTGGACGCCATGATCGCGGCGGAGGACCCGGACGCTTTGACCGTGCAGGGATTCGAAGAGGAATTGGAGGGATTTCCAGGACACACCAGACCTGCAAGAGGCGCTTGTCAGTTATCTTGAAGCGCGGCAAAAGCTGCTCTCCAAAAAGCGATCCCGCGGGTTCTGGCCTGCAACGCCAGCGAAGGGTGGTTCCAAGGGTTTCAAAGGATCCAAAGGCCGCGGCAAGAGCGGCAAAGGCGGGCGCGATCAACTCCTGGCCCGCATCGCCAGCAGTCACTGCAGGATCTGCGGTGCCAAGGGGCACTGGAAAGCAGAATGCCCGCAAAAGCGCAAATCTTCAGCGGTGGCCGAGGCGACAACCACAGTGGCGGAAGTGATCGAGGAGGATTCTTATGCAACTGCAGCCGGGCAGCTAGATGCCGATGAGGTTCTTCTCCAAGTCCCTCCGTCAGCGATGAGCCTTGCCGAGGCTCATATTACCTGGCTTGCCTATGATAAGCGCGGGATCCTTACTAGGCTTAATAGGATGGTTGATAATCTACACCGCAAAAAGAGCCTAAGCACCCACCCAATCAGGCCGATGCGAAGTGGGGCAACCTCCTTGACTGAGCCTGCGCATGCGTGTTCTGACCGCCCGAACACCGAGCAAGTGGATCTCCCGGCCCACGTGCTTTTCAGCACGACGGCCACCGATGCTATCCTAGATACGGGTGCTAGTCGGTGCGTTATGGGAAAAAGCCTCCTGAAAGGCTTTATCAACCAGTTGAGCGAGGCAGTCAGGGATCGAGTGAGAATGGTTAAGAGTTCGGTACGGTTTAGGTTCGGAAACAACCAAACCCTCCTTAGCGATCGTCGGGTACTTTTACCATTCCAGACTGCCGCTCGCCAGGTTTTGTGGTTGAGTATCGAGGTGGTTCCGGGAAGTACTCCTTTGCTCTTTAGCAAGAAGGCTATTAAGCAGCTAGGGGGATTGATGGATACGGAAACCGACACATGCCACCTCCGTAGACTGCAGAAGAGCCTCCAGTTGGCCCGACTGGGTTATACCTGATAGACCTGGCCCGCCTGTGCGAGGAAAGCAATCTGACTTCCGAATGCCTCTCAGTTTGTGAAGACGACGGTCAGAAAGCCCCCGCCCAGGACCTTTGCATGTCAAGAGCCCAAGCCCTACAGCAGAGTGCGACTGAGTCTTGCACAGTTAAGCTGAGCCATGCTAGCGGTTTGAAGGCTTGGAATTCACAGGGTCGAAGCTTCAAGAAGCTAGACTCCGATACTGTTCCCCCACAGAAACCTCAAGGGTCTTCTGTGCGTCATGAGTGTGTTAAACATGATCAGGAAGTGCAAACAGCAGCCGTGATCGACAGTGATCGTGCTCCAGCCTCGGTGCCCGACTCCACCTTGTCACCGAAGCCTCAACATGTCTCCCAAGCAAGCTCCCGTGACCTCGGAAGCCAGCGCGGTGAGCGCGGTGCTCAACACGTCCTCGTTGAGTCTCGGAGCCCGCTTCAGCCGCCAGCTGGACCCCTCAGCAGTCTTCACTGCGGAGGAAGTGCAGACGATGCCACTGGAAAAGCTCGGGGGACCAAGATCCTCTTCGGGAAGGCAATGAAGGGCCGCACGTTTGCGGATGCATACGAGAACGAGCCTGCTTGGGTGCGCTGGATGTTGGACCACATGGCCACCAGCACCAAGATGGAGCATGTGGCTTTCATCACCTATGTGCGTCGCCAGGCGGAAGAGGCAGAAGCGGTCGAGGCCGCTTTGCTGAGCTCCGACGGAGCGTCTCACGCTCGAGGTGCCACTCCCAAGGCAACTCCAAAGAGCATCCACAAGCCGCCTCACGAGGCCCACGTCTGGGAAACAACCTGGGACGTCGTTTCGGATCCCGAGCCTTCCGCAGTCGCTCTCCAGGAGCAGACCGCAATCCAGGAGCAAGTGACGATGCTCGGAGAGCGGCTGTCCCAGATGGAGGGGCTTATGCAGCAGATGATTCAGCATCTCAGCCAAAGCTCGCAAGCTGCCTAGGTGAGGTGTGGGATTGCCAAAGGGATCTGGAAACCTTAGTTGCCCAGAGTAGTGTTCTGCGTGAAAACCTAGAGCCTCGAGCGAAGCAGCTGTTGGAGCAGGAAGCATCATTATCCCAGATAAAGAACTTCTTGAAAACCGTTCCCTGGGAAATCCTTGCACCCACCAGCTCCTCCGATCGCAGCTGTGTCGCGGATGCTGAGGGGACAGCCAAATGCAACACCAAAGATCCTGCGTATGTGATGTTCGGGATGTTTGTACATGGTGGCATCGCCGGAGTGACCAATGTGACCAAAGCATACCCCTATGTGACCCGCGTGTTGACCCGAGTAATTCAGTTGACGAATCCTAGACATGAGTTTATGTCAATTGGTGTTAGTGTTAACAAGCTGGCTGAACCCCATGAGGACCGTTACAACTCTAGAGAGCTTCCCAATCTGGTTGTTCCCCTGGAGTATCCTGCGTCTGGGGGTGAGATCTGGGTGGCAAAACCGCCCCGTGCGCAGCAAGCTGCAGTTGATCGCCTGTGTGGGAAGAGTGTGCAATCAGGTTCGCTGCAATCTCTGAAGCCGGGGCTGCAGGTTGATCCTCACGTCTGGCATGCTAGCCAGCCCTGGAGCGGCAACCGTTCCCTTGTGATTGCATACGCATTGAAGCCTCTTGAAAAACTAACAGTTCTAGATAGGCGACTACTTCGGGAAAATGGGTTTAGCATTCCAAAGTTTGGGTCAACCCGAAAACATGTGTCGTTTACTGCGATACCTGAAGAGAAATGTTCTGCTCCTCAAGTGAAACCCAGCGTCGCTCCTCAGAAATCTTCTCCCCTACGACAAGCGCTAGATTCTTAGATGAAGCACAACATCTCCTGCAGCCTTCCGTGCATCAGTCAGCAGCTTCCTCTGTGGAGCACGCGTGTGTTGCGGCTTTTGCCAAGGCTGAGCAGACCGCCTGGGATGTCTTCCAAGATTCACAACTAGCCTACCAGCGCCCCGTCGGGGATCAACTAGATGTTTTAGAGGTGTATGCTGCCGCGGATAGTCGACTGACTCCATCTGTTCAAGCCATTGGTGGGAAAGCTCGCTGGTTTACCATCGCTGACGGGGATCTTAGGACCATAGAGGGCCAACGGTTGCTTTGGGATGTACTTCAGGAGACCCAACCCAAACACATTTGGATGAGTCCCGACAGTCGTGCTTGGTGCTCGTGGAGCAATCTCAATGCCGCTCGTGGGGCCCCGACGGCCTCCAAGGTGCACCAGAGGCGCCAGGAGGATACTGTGCATCTACAGCTGCGTGCGCAGATTTTCCAATGGCAAGTTGCGCGTGGACGACACTTTCATCTGGAGCAGCCCATCCACTCTAAGATGCTAGATAGCCCCCGCATCAAGCCGATAGTGTCAGGATCTAGGCGAGTGTCGGTGGACATGTGTTGTTTCGGTTTAAAGACGCCTGTCACTAGTGTAGCCATTCGGAAGCGCACTTGTATTCTGAGCACATGCCCCGACCTCATTCGTAGTCTCGTCCAACAGCAATGCCCCGGTCCTTTCAAGCACCAACATATGGTTGGAAAATCCCGCCACATGGGCGGCTTGTCTGTTGCCCAGTATGCCGGATCGTACTGCCAGGGTTTCGCGGATCATGTGGCACAGCAGTTGCTGCGACCTGCCTCGGCCGATGGTCTTGCCTTGAATGAAGTAGCGCCCCTATCCCGCAAGCGCCAGAAAACCTCGGTGACACAAGCTGTTCCCATAAGTCGATTCGGTACCCCGAAGCGTACCAGAGGTCCCTCCTCTGAGGGAGACAATCGGGGCAAGGCACAACCTCGCGTGTCCCATGTTCCTGATGCCACAGCCGTTCGCCTTCTGTCTGAGTCCGCCGGGAAAGCCATCTTTGAAATGATACCCAGAATATCGAGTAAGGTTGCACCCACCTTAGTCTCTCCCCAAGATCCCCTAATAGGTCTTCTGCAACAGAAATTCCCAGAGTACCAAGTGTTGCAAGTCTTCGCAGGTTGCGGTGGTAGACAACTACACTGGCCTTTAGGTGCACTACCAAATACTGTAACCCGTGGAGAATCAGTGTTATTCAGAGGACCAAGTCCGATGGCCAAGTGGAGTTTGTCTGCCATGAGCCCCAACTTCGAAGTGCTGTTGTGAGTTCCCAGAGACGAGGTAGAATAAATCCGGTCGATTATCTAGTTACGGTTCTCGCGGGTAAAGCGCAAGGCTTAGGTCAGGACGGTGCCTTAGACCCGAATGCCGCTGTCTCGTCTCTGCCAAATGCGTCGGGCGCCAAACCCGATATCGAGGGCTGGGCACCGCCGCCCACGCCTCTGCACGGGCCGGCCTTTCGTAACCTAGATAAGGAATCGAAGCACCTGCTAATTCGGGTTCATAAGAGCTTAGGTCACCCTGCGCCCACCGTGTTGTCTAGGCATCTGCAGGCTGCCGGTTACGACAAAGCCCTTGTAGATGGTGCCCTGGAATACCAATGCGACACGTGTCTTGAGTCTACAGAGCCCCGTCATCAGCGTCCTGGAAAGCTCCCAGAACCTAGGGAATTCAATGACTTAGTGGGAGTCGATGGGTTCTACTTTAAAGGACAGTCCGGGTACAGAGCATATGTGATCCATGCACTAGATGAAACGAGTTGCTTTCATCTAGGTCGTAGGACCCAAACCCGATTTGCCCTCGAAGCCATGCATACCCTAAGTGAGTGTTGGTTTGCTTGGGCCGGCAATCCCCGTCAAGTATATCTTGATCCTGCGGGAGAATTTAGGTCTGATCAGGTTCTAGAACGGTTCCAAGCGACCAACATTAAAACCTTTGTGACCGCTGCAGCCTGGCAGCAACGGGGTCGAATCGAGCGTCACGGTGACATTGCCAAAGATATGTTAGCTCGGTTAGACAAAGAAAGTCCTCTTGTGAATGATGCCGATTTCGATCGGGCCTTGATCCAAGTCTTCCAGGCCAAGAATGCTTTAGTGCGCCACCGTGGATATTCGCCCGAACAAATCGTGCTAGGTAAATCCGTACAAGTACCCGGGAGTGTGACCTCTGATGAAAACCTAGCGGCCCATACCCTGGCAGTAGGTAGTGACCTAGAAGCTGAAGCCCACCGTCAAAGACTCGAGTTAAGATGTGCCGCGCGAAAGGCATTCTTCGAAGCTGACAATTCACAAGCCATCCGCCGAGCAGTCCTTCGCCGGAGTACCCCCGCACGAGGTCCCTACTTAGCTGGGTCTTGGGTTCTTTACTGGACAAAGAAAAGTTCCCCTAATAGGTTAGCTGCTGGGAGATGGCACGGACCGGCGAAGGTGATTTGTCAGGAGGGCCAGTCGGTGGTGTGGGTGGCACACGGCACCACGATTTTGAGATGCGCCCCCGAGAACCTCCGTCCAGCTTCGCTTCGAGAGTGGCAGCAGTTGTCATCCGGAAATGAAGAGGCAATCTCACAACGTACTGGCGGCGCCAGTGCTTATCTGGATCTCACCGGAAGTCCTCCGGAGACAACTGCTGATAGCAATCTTGAGCAACGGCTGACGAGTGTGGACTTTCCCACACCCACCAATCCATCCTTGCAGAGTTTTTCGGCTGCCCGAGAGCCCAACTCCCAGGAAGATGAGATTGCTCAGCCTGAACAAGAGTTGACTCCCCAAGTAAGTGTTCAAGGCCCTGAGAGTTCTGAAATCTCGAGAGCGCCTGAAGTTGAGTGCGATTCCGCAGCTCCTTCCATTAGTTTCAATGGTCAGGAAACCCCGACAGCTTCCGAGGTTCCCGCACCTTCCAGCGTAGATGCCTCCCCAGAATCTGACGAGGGTTTGCATGCTGAATCCATCCTTCTTGCATCCGAAGCCCTCATGGGGCAAAGTGCGGAAGAGTCGGAGCTTCTGACCTTCACATCCCTCGCGACGCATGAGTCTGCCGAAGGACCACCGCTTGCAGAAGATAATCTTCCTTTCGTCGAAGACCCACTAGAATGCGCCGATCATCAAGCCTTTAGCCTGGAAATCCCGATTAAACCCCGAGACCTTAAGAAGTGGTCCCAAGAGTCGTCTCCCGAACAACTCACGACTTTAGCTGCGGTGGGAAAGCGAGCTCGTGCCGATGTCCGTGTAAAGGATCTGAGTCGCGAGGAGATGGCTCTGTTCGATGAAGCCAAGCAGAAGGAGCTCCAGTGTTGGATACAAACTTCTACCATCAAGGCCATCTTGCGTAGGAAACTTAATCCTGCCCAAATCCTTAAGTCCCGATGGATCCTAACTTGGAAGGCTCCCGAGCCTGGCGAAGATCGCAAACGAGCCAAAGCCCGTCTGGTTGTTCTAGGCTTCCAGGACCCCAAACTAGTTGAAGTGATGCGAGACGCTCCCACATTGTCTCGTGAGGGACGTGCTATTGTCTTACAAACCATAGCATCCTGCCGATTCCACCTTAGCTCCTTCGACATCAAGACCGCCTTCCTCCGTGGAAAGGCGGACGAGGGGAACCCGTTAGCAATGGAGCCACCGCCTGATCTCCGAAAACTGCTCAAGCTCCGGGAAGACGAGGTATGCCAACTTGTGGGTAATGCGTATGGTCGGGTTGACGCCCCTCTCCTGTTCTATAAGGAGTTAAGTAAGCAGCTACGGTTGTTAGGCTTTGAGCCCCACCCACTTGAGCCATGCGTCTTTCTTCTGAAAACGAGCAATAAGCTTCGGGGAATTCTCGGGGTGCACGTGGATGATGGAGTGTGTGGTCGTGATGAGTACTTTCGACAAAAGGTTGAAGAGCTGCAGAAGGTGCTGCCTTTCGGATCTCGAAAACATAAGAGCTTCATTTTCACGGGCATTCAGCTAGAGCAATTCCCCGACTTTTCAATCAAGGCGTCCCAATCCGAGTATGTTCACCGGATCCCGTCCATTGATGTTGGGAGACCTAGACGACAGAACCTAGATGCCCCCGTCAATGAGGATGAGCGAACCAAGTTAAGAGGCCTGATCGGTAGTCTCCAATATGCCATCACCCATACTAGGCCCGATGTAGCGGCGCGCTTAGGTGAAGTCCAGTGTCAAACGACAACTGCCACCGTGCAAACCCTTCTCCTAGCCAACAAAGTACTTCGTGAGGCACAGGAGTATCATCAAGTGAGTATCATCTTTCAAGCCATTCCGGTGGACAAACCGACTTTCGTGGCATTTGGAGATGCGTCTTTTGCATCTTCCAAAAACTTGAACTCCCACCAGGGTGTCTTGATCTGCACCACCGTTTCCCCACTTACCTGGTCGGCCAAAAAGATTCCCCGAGTAGTACGCTCAACGCTGTCAGCAGAAGCATACGCCATGTCAAAGGCGGTGGATCTGTTGGGATGGGTCCGCGCCCTTTGGGGTGTGATCCATATTCCCGATTTTAAGTGGCAACAGCCTGAGCTAGGGTTTAAGCACCTACGAACGGCTGTCATAGTCACAGACTGTAAGAGCCTTTATGATTTAGTTACCCGACTTGCAATGCCGGCCTGCGAAGAGTATCGTACCACCCTTGAAGTACTACTCATAAAACAACGATGTCAAGAGAATGCGTGCTTCCGCTGGGTCCCCACGACCCTTCAAGCGGCCGACTGCCTTACCAAGGCAATGGATTCCAATCTCTTACGAGCCGTCCTTGCTAGAGGCCAGTTCAAGCTGTATGATCCCTCTCAAACACTTGAAAAAGATGCACAGCGTAAAAAGGCCATTGAGTGGCTGCAATCACCTCCTACTTCCTGATCATCACACAACGCAGTGACCTGACTCTGAACGAGTCCGCGGACAAGACTCTCTTAAGAATCACTGAAAGGGGATTAAGCTCAGTGCTTGCTCGAGTCTTCGGACAGACTCCCCGCAAACCTGCCTCATGTCAGGATGCACGTGATCGAAAAAGAACGGTCAGTGTGAAAACACCTTTAATTCGTGTCGATCATGTACATCCTGCTTCTTCCTCGCTGCCTGGAGGGCTCGAGGTCCGAGGCGGGAGGGTCAGGGTTTTGCGCAGGGCGCACATGGACCAGTGAGCGGGTAAAAGAAGGTGAGGCCATCTTCAACGGCAACTGCACAGACAGGGTCTGCATTTCATCTTTCGGAGTCTTCTGGACTTGAGGCATTTCTGGAATTCTTCTTTGAGATCTGATCGGGGATCAGGGCTACCAGTGGGAACTCTTATCGAGTTCACAACCCTAAACCCTAAACCCTAAACCCTGAACCCTAAACCCTAAACCCTGAACCCTAAACCCTAAACCCTAAAAGCTAACCCCAAAACCCCTAAACCCTAAGTAGGATCAGCTAATGGCCTGGGCCATGAAGTGTGCTTCATCCGAGCTGGAGAGGTGCTGTTTCACTGCCCCAGCCTTGGAAGTCCAAGGGTTGATGATAGAAATCCTGGGGTCCTTTAAAGGGGATCTACAAGGGTACCTTTAAGGGGCTCCTAGGGATCTATAGGGAGTTTAGGGTTTTAAACCCTGCATTACCCATAATAAGGAATATACCATAATTCCCATAGTTTAGGGTCCTTAAGGTAATGCAGGATTTATATCATTAACCGAAGCAGCTCAGCGCAGTTAAGGGTTCGGATCTGGGGTTGAGTGTTTAGGGTTTAGGGTTCGGGGTTTGGGGTTTAGGGTGTTTAGAATGTGGGGACGAAATTCGGAAAGGGTTTGGGTTCAGAGGCTTCAGGCTCAGGTTTGCAAATTTTAAGATTTCGGCGGGCCTTCTTCGGGCTCCCAAAAGGAAGCTGAAACCCTCATGCCTTTCGGGTTCAGGTTTGTTCAGCGAAGGACAGCATGGCACACCATAACATGGATATCTAGGCTTGAATGGTATCACGGAGTAGAATCTTTGGAGTATGATAGAGTAGAACAGTACCCTACACCTAAACCCTAAACCCTATAGCAGACTGTCGTCTTCACTACCTAGCCCTTCTAGTCAAAAACCCGCAGCCTGCAGTCTCTTCCAAGTGCAATCTCGAAACCCCGGCTGGTCCTGAACCCCGCTGCGGAAGCCCATGTCCCAACATCCTGCAATGTCTGGTCGACCCCGAAAGACCAGAGTTGAGGGTTTAGGGCTTTAGAGCTTAGGGGTTTAGGTTTTAGGGGTTTAGGGCTTTAGGGCTTAGGGGTTTAGGGGTTTAGGGGTTTGGTGAATGCCCCCCAACAATAAAAAAAGAGCTCCGAAGAGACGACGCAGCGGAAGTCCGATCCGATTCCGCGCAGCCTCTCTCATACGAGAGAGTCACAGCGAGCTTCGGCGCTGAAGCCCTAAACCCGAAATTACAAGCACCCTGACCCTAGACCCTAAACCCTAAACCCCAAACCCCAAACCCTAAACCCCAAACTCTGAAACCTTAAACCTTCCAGGGCCATGGCCAGAAAGGACTGTGTGCAGATGCGAAGCCCTCGATCCTGAGCTCGTTTCCGCTTGGCTCTGGCGCTTCGGGGGTGGCTTCGGGTTGATCAAAGGGCTCCCAAGGTCAGATGAAGGTAGGTGGGACATTCCCAAATAAGAGTCCTTATATAAAGGGTCCTTCATCCTAAATCCTGCATTCCGTTAAGGACCCTAAACTATGGGAATTATGGTATATTCCCTATTATGGATAATGCAGGATTTATATCATCAACCGTAGTTTAGGGCTTTAATGGTTTAGGGTTGCTGCTTCTGTGTTTTGGTGGCATGATAGTTGGGAGCAGTCGCAGTTCCGGCGCGATGAGACTCCTCGAAGTCCAACCTCTCTCCCTTTTGACCAACCCTAAAGCATTAAAACCCTCAACTACGGTTGATGATATAAATCCTGCATTACCTTAAGGACCCCAGACCATGGGAATTGTGGTATATTCCGGCTCTTGTCAAGTCTTCGACCGACTTGCATCGTAACCCAGAGATGGGCCGAGAGCTGGAGGGCTTGTGTTCCACCAGGTGTTCACAAGGAATTGGGGGCCAAAAGGGGGGTTTAAGACTCTTCGAGGTAGGGATTCCTTAATATGAACCCTATTATGGGAACCCTAATCCCTACTAAACCCCCATAGGCTAAAACCCCTTTTGGCCTCCTATGAACAAGTTGGTTCAGGGCTATCGTGTTTCAAAGGGCAAAAGGAGGGACCCTTAATGGGCACCCCTACCCTATAATGGGCTATATAATGGGTATATAATAGCTCTATTAAGGGTATATACTTAGGGATCCTTATTAAGGGTCCCTCCTTTTACCCTTGCAGTGTTTCGGGCCGGGCCTACGAAATAGTCTGGCCGATATCGTCAATTTGCGGCACAAAGTATGAGCAGCAAGCTTTCAACTTCATGTGCTCATAGTACCCTTCTAGCAACCCGTGTAGTAACCTTCATAACGACCGTTTCTAGCCACTCCAGGACAAGCCCATGCCAACTCTGAATAACCACGAACCCCAAAACAACCACGCGAAACCTACCAGAGCCCAAGCCCAATCTCAAGACCCCAATCCCGAAAGTCCAGGCCGTAACCCCTGGAATAAAAGGACACAGTGGTCGGAACATATTCCGGTATAAGTCCGCATAAACAAGTAATATACAAGGAGAACAAACATGTTAAGGCTCCTGTATTCCCACATTCCTTTGGGCTTTAGGGTTCTTTAAGATTTCTTTAATACATTGTACCCCTACTCTCAGAGCCCCTGTAACATAGCTAGGTCGGCCCTTGAGAGCCTCGGAAACATGCTCATAGACAAGATCCTCCTGGTCGCAGTGAAAAACATGATATATATATATATATATATATATATATATATCCCAAAGACCTCCCTAGATAAAACTTGAAACTCCTAAACTCCTAAAGTCCGTAAATCCTAAACCCCAAACCCCAAAACCCTAAGAACCCGAAACTCCCTAAAGCTTAAACTCTAAACATAGGCCCAGAATGGCGGCTGAGGGCAGGTCCTTCAGCCCTCGGCTGATTGCCGAGGCCTTTTTGAGCTAAGGGTTTAGGGTTTAGGGTTTAGGGTTTAGGGCGGGGAGGGCGATCGGGGTGGTGGGGGGGGGGGGGAGTGGAGCGGTGAAGTAGGGCAGTTTAGGATTTAAGGTTTACGGCTTAGGGTGTAGGATTATAAGTTAGAAGGTTAGGACTCAGAATTTAAGGCTTCAGGTTTAGATCTTGAGGTTCAGGATTGCGGCCTTAGGCATTAGGCTTGAATGGGGTTTTTCGGGTTTAGGGTTTCGGTTCATGGCTTAGAGTTCAAGGGCCGTTTTAATGGCTGCCATTCAAGGTTGTGTTAAGCGTTCCTTCGGCAGATCTACCGTGATTTCTCGTAGGACGAACTAGAGCAGCCAAGGGTCCTGAAACCATCATCCTACTGCTCAGGGAATAAATTGGATGCGGAGTCTCTGCCTTTTTGGAGGCTCATCAGGGTGTAGTAGTGTTGCTGTAGGGTTTCGTAGTTTCCTAGAGGGCTTTTGAAAGCTTTCGGCATTTTGGTGGACCTTCTGCAGCCCTGAACCCTATATATAGTAGAAGCCAGAAAGTTGGAACATGGCTTTAGAAGGATTAGTGCTAGGATCCCTTATAGCTTACCTTAAGGGTATGAGGACAACTATGTTCCAACTTTCTGGCTTCTACTGTATCCCTAAAACTCTGCGAATACTCTGAGTCTCCCAGCCCTCCCAGCGCCGGTCTTCGCCGCTGGGCCGCTCCTGGGCATCAGGGCGACTTTTCTGCTGACTGAGAAAGAGTAGTACTAGCAGCAACAGCACCACTACCAGTTGTGTAGGAGCCTCAATAATCAGAATGGGGTTTTGGGCCCCTTATACTACAAATGTAATAAGCAACCACAAAAATAGTAGAGGGCATCATTGCGGCCCCTATTCTACCACAACCACGGTGCTCACTTGAAGACCCTGGCATCACCCGTGGATTATTGTGTACGAGTGTCTTCGAGGCATTGCTATCACAAATCATGATAGACTGCTAGTTTAGGGCCTGAAATGTAGGGTTTAGGGTTTAGGGCGATCACGAACCATGATAAATTGATATTTTAATGCAGATCATGGGACATGTGCGACTTTTTGAAGACAAGGAGGGGAACCTCATCTGGTCGGTAGGTAGTGGCACTAGTTAGGACCCTGATCATGAAGGACCTGCAGATAAGTTACAGTTTTTGGAAATCCCCAAATGGTCGTAAGCCCAACCCTAAACCATGAACCCCAAAACCCTAACAAAAACCCTAAAAACCCCCCAAGACCTCCCAAACCGCGAGAACCCCTCAACAAAACGAAGACCCTTAAAACCCCCTCGGATTGCAGATCCCTAAACCCTGAGGCCCTATAGATCCCTTAAGGGCACCCTTGTAGATCCCTTTAAAGGGAACCCCGAAAGATCCCTGAAAGGAATCCTAGCCCCCCATCACAGCAGGGAAAGCGAGGGGCTCGAGGGCGTAGATGACGAAAGCATCGAATCCGGAACTTCTCCGGGTCATCGCCTTTTTTGGTGTTTAAGTTAGGGTTTAGGGTTTAGGGCTTAGGGTTTGGGGATTAGGGTTTAGGGTTTACTTGGAGGTTCATGGGTAGTTTATATAAGTAGAGCTATAAGTCCAATATGGGTTGTAAGTAGAGTTACCCTACTTATAACCCTACTTACAACTACCCCTGGACCTCCAAGTAGGGTTTGGAGTTTGGGGATTTAGCGTTTGATAAACTGGTGATTTAGGACTTATAGGGTTTAGGATTGATGCTTAGGGGTGTTGAAACGATATGACTATCTCGGCTACAACAGCCTT